AAAATACTTGGAGGCATAGCTGTTTTGCACACTATGTAGTTACTGACCTTTGCTAATGTGTGAGAGCTAGGAATGAATATTTGTTGTATAAAAAATTCCATTAACTTCCATCCTTTTTTATTTCATTTCTCTGAAATTGTAATGTTTTAAATACAAAATTAAGGTGGTGCTGTACCAAAACTATGTATTAACTAGCAACTTTTGGATTCTTTCTGCAACTAGTAGATGAAGGGAGAGAACATATTAGAAAAAAGGACAAAGAAGGAATTGTGGAGGAAGAGCGAAAAATGAGGTGAAGAGATAAGAGGATAAAGTGAAAGAGATCAGGTGTGAGTTCATTTCGTTTGAGTTTTCCTGGCACCTGAACAGTGCAATGAGGGTGCCCAGGATTTGCTGAACTCTGTACCAGCCCGGAGGTGAATGCTGTGACCTGAAGGGACCATTGCTTTGCTCTCCTTGACAGAGAGGCTGTGAGATGAACTCTGGGGATCATAGAGGAATGGAGAAAATCCTGTGCTATGTTATCCTGTCATTTTTTTAGGGACAAAGCAGTATTAATCAGGTGTATTATTTGTATATTATTTAATAGATTATACTCATTTATCTAAAATTAATATTTATTCATATATGTAAATATAAATGTATGTGTAGGCAATGTGTATATAAACAACAGTCATATCATCCTTGCCAAGAGCGTAGTGCTTAAAGGACTATTCCTTAAATGACTATATGAACAGCAATCCCACTGTGCTGCAAAATGTGATAGAAAGAAGAATCTAGACCAGCAAAATCTGTCGTCCTCAAAGCCATGGATTTAGGAACATGCAGCTGTTTTGGTGAGAAAGCGCAAGAGGCAGATTAGGGAGATGGTAGGTGGAAAGAAGTTCCCCATTTTGAATGGTAACTTTCTTTGTTTTCTTCTTAGGGGATATGGCATTGGTGTAAGGCTGATTGATGATTTTTTAGCTCGTTCAGCTGTGAAAAAGTGCCGCAGTTATTCTGAAACCGCAGACATGATTGCACAGGTAAACAAGATTTACATTTTCTAGAGCTTCATCTGCTTCAATGGTCTTGGCTTTTCCCTCCTCCTGTATCAGCTACCTACATTTTCTGCTATATCATGATTGTCTTCTCAAAACCCACACATCTCCACAATCACACCCATGCTTCCATTGGGTGAAATACAGCCTTTTCCTTATCTACAATTTCATATCAATTACTTGCTCACAAAGGTTGGCCTTGAGAGGAGACATCAGTTTCTACCTCTGTAGTATAGTGTTACATCAGGGTGGGAAAAACCCAACATTCAACAGAAAACAAAAAAATGTGATGTGTAGTGAGAGAAGAATTTTGCGGATGGTCTCGATAAACCCACAGTGGTAAGTTTACCACAAAGGGTCATCAGAACCACAGAACTGGTTCACATGGGTATTTGTTTTATGTGTGAGTTGAGGACAGAGAACAGAATGGATGAGACAGAATGGGATAGCACCTGTGAGAGGCTGCCAACCCCTGACCTAAACTGACCTTAAAATGAGTTGCTGAGCTGAAATAAAAATCTTTCTATTCCTAGTAGCCTATGAGGCATTTTGACATTAGAAGAATTTAAAAGTTTCTTTTTGTTTGCTGCAGCTTAAGCTGATTTCTTCTACTCTTGCCACAGAATGCAGTGAACAACAAAAAATGATCTAGTTTTAATGAACTTCAAATTATATATTCCCTCACTTTTTTCTTTTTCTAGGAGCATAAGCCTTAACCATCTCACACAGATCTTAAACTTTGATATTCTTACTCCTGCCATCTGAATCTCCTCAGCATCTCCATAATGATCTTAGATGTCTTTTAATCTTAAAATGGTAATATTAGGAATAAGCTGCAGGATTTTCTGCAAAAGGAAGACACAATGGTAGCAGAAAAGAACTGTAAGAAAGTAAAAGAAACATTTTCCTCACTACCCACAAATCTAATAATAAAATAAAAAAGATAAAATCAGAGTGGGTACTTTCACTTTCTTTGATGGAAATTTCCCTTTTATTGAGTAGTCTTTCACACTTCTGTCAGACCATAAAGATCTAGAAAGAAATTTAGTGGCAATACACGGGTTCCTAAAGAGGTATCTTTGTCCCCATGGGCAAATCAGATCTCCTGGGGAAGCCCAAAGAAAAATCCATAGGACATCCAGCTGCTTTAGACTGCTGAGTCACTTCAAAAGAGGTGGTAGTTCATAGACACTGAGTTAGCTCAGACTACTACCTGTTCAGGTCATGGTGAATGATCCCTTTTATCCTTTATGATTTTCAGCTATGAAGTGTTGCCAGTGAAGATATGCCTGGCCTTTCCCATGTCAAAAATTAACCACACTTCATAACAAAGAACTGCTTGCTGGGTAGTCTTTTGTCTTAAGAGAGCATCAGTTAATTGAACTGAGATTCATTTCCATTGGCTCATTTTAGGAGACAAAAATATGCCTGGCATACTTTTTGATTGCTTCAGAATTACCAGCAGCATCAGCTAAATGTGAGCATTACGTTTAACCAGTGACTGCAGAACTGGGAAACGGGAGGCTTTCTGTCCAGTTAGCTAAGGCACCAGTATACACTGGTTATACAGGAGTATCTTAGTTCAAAGTGTACGTGGATGTCATCAGGTGATGTGTGAACGTGCTCACATTAACCATATCAGAAATACCTATGTTAGATCTGACTGAAATGGAGGGACAGAAGTTATGTTATCATTCCAAAATGCTTGTCATAGAGGAACTGATGGCAGTTGCAGAAATAGAGAAAGGACCTCTTTGCATTTGCTGTTGCGGGCAGGGCTATATAGTGCACATGTGCACAACACCCCCCCCCCCCCCCCGCCGTGATCTGCCAAAGTTTAAAGCAGGAGCGGGTGACATTACTAAAAGCCAGCCAGATCCCATTAGCTCATAAAGAAATGGAAACTAAATTTCTTCCCAAAGTAAAGCATATTTTGAAGTGTCAAATCACGATGATGTATAATAAAGCTGCTCCTTTGGAGGAGCTGAGCCAGGGTAGAGGATCCATTGGAGATAGTGAGGACAGCTGAATGAAAACCCTGAGACAAGCAGCATTTCAATCACTGTATTACAATACACTGTCTCATTAAAAGAATGATACCAGGCTGCAAAATCACATTTTTGTTCATTTTTATGTTCTTCTTCAGATGGTATTTGTACTTAATTTTCTCTGAATTTTCATGTATATGCCAGATAGATACCTGGTTTTCTGGGTCTTGTTCCTAATGATTCTCTTATTTCCAAATGCTTTAATACAGTTGAACCATCATTCTTAAGTATAGGGGATTCAACAACAAAATAGAGTGAGAAATTAACCATCAAAGTAAGGAAAAAGACATTATTTCTCTGCAGGTCATACTTCAAAAGAGACTTACTGAGAGAAATAAAATTACTTGCAAAGATTGGAACCAACTTTAAAGCACACAGTCTCTTGAAAAGACTATTTTTAGCAAACTAAAAGAGGAGTTGTGTAGTAGGAGTATAACCTTTCTGAGGCAAAATGGGATATGGAAAGCATTTTTCAGATTTCCTTGGCGAAACATTTTAAAATAGTCCTCAAGCACATTTGTCTGAGGCACATACCAACAAAACATATGTAAAATGACCCAGCAAGTAACTGCAAATACGCTGTTAAAGTTGTTGGTTCAGAATTACACAGCTGTTTACATGATCTCTAAATCTTCAGCAGAAGTGTTCTCAGCCAAGAGAAAGTGCTTAAATACTTAACTGCACTAACTCTTCTGAGGTAGAAATCTGTTTCAGGATGACTGTGTAGAGTAAAACCAGTTAAAAGTTAAAGTAATTAAGGCAGTTAAGCAGTTCAGGTAAACATAGCTGTTACCTGCAGTCCTTTGGAAAGCAGAGGAGAAGTCTACAAGATCAGGCTGTGGGTGTTCCCCACGGAAATGGAAAGAGATGAAGTGAAGGAAAAAACATAAAATGAGGAGTACAAAGCCAGCTTGCCATATTAAGAAATAAATACCGGAGGAAAGGTGCCCCTAAGGCAGTGACTGAGGGCTTAAAACTTCCACCACTGGTTCAGACTGCAAAGCCTGAGATTTACTGCTAGTTTATACTGGACTGGAGAAGGGCCAAGTTATGATGAGCCAAAGTGAGTTCTTCTACACTGAGTTCCCATGTTGCTCACTGACTTCTCATGTTGGTGCTGTGACTTTGCATGCTTACAGTCAGGATTGAATAAAAAAAAGATAAAATAGGTCATGTAAAAGTAGGCTTTCTGCTCACTGGCAAATTGGGATAAGAAAATGGAAACCAGTTGAGGTCAGTATTAAGAACAAAGCTCAGTTGAAGAAGTAATGTCCAAGACTGGATTCAGAATTTGCAACTGAATATAACTGAGGATTATTTTTGAAATGAGGGTGATAATTTTGCTCTATAATCCTACAAAATTCCTCTTCACAAGACCCTGACATCATTGAGCTGATCAAAAGAGATGCAAAAAATAAAGAGCTTCTGGTTTTAGATCTAATCCTAGATGTCACCATGCCCCAGGAGGAGGTGACATGCACAATGTCACCATGCCCCAGGAGGCGTCTGTGTGCTGCAGGTGGGAGCGGCTGGGCCATACCCTCTGGTCCTCAGTGAGCTACTGCTGGCTCACAGGCTCCATAGCTGTCTTCGTACAGTGCTGTGCCTGAGGATGTATCCCTTGCTGGAAAGCAGTGGCTGGAGACATGGGCTTTATTGTAGAAGCTCAGTACCCTGGGAATGCAGCAAACGTACGTCTCTGCAGCTGCTTGTAGAGAAGCCCAACCACGTCACCCCCAAGCCCAGAGCTGTAGGACAAGAAATGTGATGTCTCTTCCCATGGCAGCTCCTTCCACACAAGGTGCCTATATATTGATATATGGCCAGTCTGAAAGTCTGACAGAAGCTGGCAGAATTTCGGAAGGTGGTAAATGTTGTTTTTCAGATCTCAGCAGTGAGAAGGAAATGAATACAGCAGGTTGCTGTGCTAAGTGGTAGACAGTAAAATGAAAAATGAAATGCTGTGCTGTAAAGAGTAAAGTTTGTGAGTGCATGGAATCAGTAACAGATGGCAAGACCTTTAAAGCATCTTGCTCTTCCCAAACACTGACTGTGGAAAAGTACTAAGAATGAAGACTATGCTAGCAAAAATGTTATTTTGGCTGCCTTTCCCCTTCTAAGCAGATTAAATCTGGTCCTTCATTAATCTTGTTATTATGTCATCTGAAATTATGGTTTCAATTTTTTTAAGTCTGTACTATCACTTCCTTTGCAACATTACTTATGCATACAATGTTTTGTAGTGAAAAGTCCCCAGTAGTATACAAAGGGACTGATAAGATAATGGCCTCCTAAATATTTCAGTAATTCTAGACTGTATTTGAGCACCAGCAAAATGTTAATGAATTTTATTGTTGTTGCTTGAGAGAGGTGGGTTGCTGGTTGAGACGTTGAAAAACGGCAGTGGTTCATTTTTAATTTTGACTGCACAGATTTCTTGTTTGACATTAACCAATATATAATCCCATTGAATTATAAGTAACATTTTCAAAAGAAAAGATTTTGTTTTATATGGGTGTCATATTGATGGTGAGCCTATGTACATGTCTAAATAGATATTCTTTTTTCTTCCATTTCATATTGATAGAAATGAGACAGATTTATGGATCCAACTTTCAAACCTGCTCATTCATACTACTTCCCTGTCTTTTGGAGTCACAAAGAAAGATTGAAAAGACCTTTATTTTACCCTCTGAGAAGTTGTGTATGGTAGTTTTAAAGGAATTTCTGTCCAGTCATAGCCTGTTTTTTTAAAATATGTTCATATCTATTCACTGAATTACTTATCTAGCTACTTATTTTTTTCTGCTGAGACTTTTTTACAATTTTCACTTTATAGCTTTGCAATTTTGCCTTAATTTGGTGCTCCATTGCAAACCAGCTACTGGTTTTGCATAGTTTCCATGCAAGTTCTCTTTTACACAGGAAATTTTAACA